GTCCTGCGGCAGATCACACGCGGTTCAGCACGCACGCGCGCTCCTAGCCAACGAGCCCGCTGCACCCAGGCCGCCAGGCCCGCAGCGCCCCCTCTCGGCCATACAGGTAGGTATGCTCTACATTGTCCCTTTCTAGGTTTCCTGAGCCCAGGTGGTCTTGTCCATAGCCCCTGACCCCGCATTCCCCCTCACAGGATCCCCGGATAGCTCGCGCACAAAGTTCACTGGCACGAATCTCGTTCCCCAGGCTGCCTACATTGCAGCACGCACTTGGTCCTTCACAATCTTCCTCCCCGCAGAGGTTCCCGAATCTCACACTTGCCGTGCCTGGGCCCACAGAAAGTTGCCTTCAGCGTACCTTCATACCATACTGCCTCCCTTCCTACAGCGACCACCATCCTTCATTTTTCAGGATCATAGACACCTTTGACATTTTTATTGTTTTAAAGAAAACAGAAAACGCACTGTGAGGCAGATCCAATCCAGCAGCCTCACGTGTGTACTTTTTCCCCTCGACTTTGTGTCAGGTGTCACCGGGAAAGAACAGAGGGTCCCAGCCTTGAGTACCCCAATGTGCCAAGCAGAGTTTGAGCTGGCCTGCACTGCCATCAAGCAGCTGAAGCGTCCTGTGAGTGACCAGGAGAAACTGATGGTATACAGCTACTACAAACAGGCCACTCAGGGTGACTGCAACATCCCCGCCCCTCCTGACTTGGATGTGAAAGCCAAGGTCAAGTGGGGGGCATGGAACGTGAACAAAGGGATGTCCAAGGAGGATGCCATGAAGGTTTACATTGCCAAAGTGGAAGAGCTGAAGAAAAAGGAGGCTGATTAGGGAGACTTTAACAGACAGAAGTAGCATGGCTCCTCTGGTAAGGAATGGGCTTAAAAGATCTTGAGGGCTGAAATGTCCTGAAAGGGTAGCAAGGTTAGCTAAGACATCAATAAAGCCCTTAAACTGCTTAAGGATGACTGTATGTTGTTGGGAGAGTGTCTAAATAACTGAATCTCTTCACTAGGTAATCACTGGCCTTCTGGGTGGTTGTGAATGTGTTCCCTCCTCTCCTATTTCATAGCATATGTAGATTTTGGGTAGTAGAGGGGATAATGGGAGAACCAATGGTATGAAAATGCCTAAGGTTAACTGAGCATGGTGGTGTACACCTATAATCCCAGGCTGAGGCAGGAGGGTTGCCCCAAGTTTGAGGCCTGCCTAGGTTTATACATACTGAGTTCAAGGCCAGCCAGACCTACATAGTGACCCTGTCTCAAAAAAAAGCCCAAGTTTGGAGGTGAGAACATTCTCCAGTGGACCTTTGCTTCTAGGGAGCCTGAGGACCCTGCCTCTGTGTCTTCGGGGCTGCTGACTCACCAGCAATCCAAAACTAGATGAGATAGGGACTCTATCTTCCAAAAAGCTAAGGTCAAGCTCAGAAGTCCTTAGTGGAACACAATTCAATGAAGTTAGTATCTTTTGTTTTGTTTTGTACTGGGGATTGAACTCAGGACTTTGTACTTGCCAGGCAAGCCCCACCTCTGAGCTACATCCCTGGCTCTAAAGTTACTATATTGAGAGAAGCCAAGTTTAGTGATACAGTGGTGAGGTAACTGATCCAGTGTACCTTAGTAGCTGAAAAACAGTGGAGCCATAGTTTCAAAATCTCAGACACTGATGACTCATCTAAGATCTAGCAATCAATATTTTTTTGAGACTACCACACAGCTAACCCTACTAGCTGTATGAAGATCTGTGTTAAGACAAAATCATGCATATAGGTTTGGTTATATGAGATTTGTTGTAAGAGCACAGACCACCACCTATGAAGGGCTACAGTACCGGAGCCTGGCATCTACTCCATATTAATCACCAGGGAGGCATCAGTGCATAACCACTGTGCCCAGTGGCTGGGATATGGAGTGCTAAGTTCTTAAAGACATTTTAGAGAAACAGGTCTTCTGTAGTATGGCATTTCATACGATTTTCCCTGTTAAAAATTATTTTCTAGCCAGGTGTGGTGAGGCATACCTGTAATCCAGGTACTAAGGCTGAGAGAGGAGGGCAGTAAGTTTGAGCCCAGATGGGCAACTAACACTCTGAGATCCTGTCTCAAAATGAAAAAAGACTGGGGGTGTAGCTCCATGCAAAGGCCCTGGGTTCAATCTTTAGTACTGTAAATCACAGTGACTAAAGTATTACAATTATAAGCCGGGCAAGAACCACACTGTAAAACAGAATTTTTTTGTTTTGTTTTGGTACCAGGGATTGAACTCAGGACCTTGCACTTGCAAGGGGTGGGGGAGCACCACTGAGGTATTTCCCCAGCTCTTTTCTGGTATTGTGAACATATTTTTTATACTTTGAGGATCATGGTTTTTGTTAAATGCTAACAGAAAAATAATATACTTTGCTCCAAACTGTGGCAGCAGTTTAGGAATTGTAAGTGTGCCATACCATTCTGTAAATCACTACAGAACCTGACAAAATAAAAATGTATCATAACTAGGGGTACAGATAGTAACTGGAAGAGAGCTAGGATAGCCAGGCATGGTAGCACACCTCTGTAATCAAACTACTCACGAGGCTGAGGCAGGAGGATTTCAAATTTGAGGCCAGCCTGAGAAACAGGGATACCCTGTCTCAAAATACAAATAAAAAAGACGTGAGGATATACCTAAGTGCAAAGACCCTGGGTTTAATCCCTGGTACAGAGGTGGGGGACAGGGCACCAGTATATAGTGTGCTAAATTTTGTGGGAGGGGGAATAAGACTATATTTATAACTGATAGTTGTTTAGAGTAGGGGCAATGGGATTGACCAAGTTTTCGTTGTTGTTTTATTTTTAAATGGTATTGAAATTGCACTTGGGGTTTTAAACTTACTAGACAAGAAGAGCTCTATTACAGAATTATATCCCCAATTTTCTAAAATTTTTGAGACGGTGTCTTCCTAAATTGCCTAGGCTGGCCTCAAACTTGCAATCCTCCTTCCCCTACCCATGGAAAAAAGAGAAACATAAAGACTCATGTAAGAGCCTAATTTCAGAAGCATTTTTAAAAATTAATTTTGGGCCGGGGATTTAGCTAAGTGGTTCCACCACATGCCTCGCAAGTATAAGGTCCCAAGTTCGATTCCTGGTATTGGGAAAAAAAAATTATTGGTATACTTTTGATATATATATATATATATAATAATCACATTCATCTTGGGAATTTGTACCTGTACATGAGAAGCATTTAAAAATTTAATAATGAATATATGCAATACAATTTTGTTTCCAGTGATTAAAAATAACTTGTGTAGAGCCAAAGAGAAAACATAATTTTTTTCAGGCTGAAGAAATAATTTAACCTATTCCCCGCTACCCCGTACTGAGGATTGAATTCAGGACCTTGCACTTGCAGGGTAGGTGCAATGCCACAGAGCTAAATCCCCAGCCCAATTTAACCTATTTTAGGATCCTTTCTTGAGAGAATTAAAAAATATTAGCACAGAGCCACAGGTGTCAAAGCACATAAAATCCTTCTGTTTTCTCTGGCTACTCAAGATGTAAAAGCAGGTAAAATGGGGGTTTAACTAAGTCTTTTTCTCCAAGGAACAGAATTTTTTAAAAAAGTTGAATGTCAAGACCATCTTCCAGAGCAAGATGTTAGAACAGCTTATTATGAGGTGCTTGGAGTACAACCATCATAAGCAATTGATCTGGATTTATTTGAACATTTGCTCCAATAGAATCTGTCAGTTCTGATGAGTCACAGCTCATCAAAATTCCTTCCATTCCCAGGCAAGGGTAATGTCCCATAAACTATCCCAGTCTAAAAAATAATTTGTTACTAATTTAATACAGTTACATAGAATGTGCCATTTACTGACAGTGCAGATTATAGCAAGAATTCTCCTTTACTTGGAGCAATGATAATCAGATTTAATTTCTAAACTGTACCAGCACTTTCAGAGATTGAAAGACACAAATCTTCAGCAGCCAGGCCGCCTTGACTGCACAGGACACAAACAAGTAGTAAGAGCATTTATCATAAGCAGATACAACAGGCTTCGGGGTACTGGATGGAAATTACAGATGCTTGTTTCACATGATGTCTTCCATTAACCTGAAGCCTTTACTTTACTTCTTTTAGCAAACCACTCATCACTTTTATCTGCTGCCATTGCCTATAGAAATAAAAATTGAATATATATTTATTCCAAGTCTGAAAAATGAAAGATATAGCTCACTTTGTACTTCATTCCACTATCCACAAAGGAGAAACTGACATTTAAAGAGTGTGTTCTTGCGGTGCATTTTGTTGAATGGGGCAGGAGATGCTGGTGTGAACCAAGCAACTGTGTGGTGACTCTCATCGCTGAGTAAAGGGCAAAGACTGCAGCTGGGAAGCACAGATGGCTGATGGGAAAGCAGGACCATGCACACTAAGTCAGAGAGTCTTTGGCTGAACAAAACCCTAGTGCTCATGAGGCTCAGCCTAATCATGAGACCAAATATGAGAAGTTATTTGATGTCTTAGCTATCAATTTCTGTTTTACACCTTCTCCCACCTACTCTAGGGATTTAGTTCAGTGGTTCTGCTGCCTGCCTCACAAGTGCAAGGATTTGAGCTTGATCCTTGGTACCAAAACAAACAAACAAATAAACAAAATAATATGTACTCCATAAATATACACACACACACACAAAAAAAAACCTGTAAAATTTTTAAAAATTTAAAAAATAAAAATGAGTTTTCAGCCAGGTGTGGTAGTGTATGCCTATAATCCCAGCACTCTGGGAGGCTGAGGCAGGAGGATCACAAGTTTGAGCCTAGTCTGGGCAACTAGAGACTTAAAAAAAAAAAAGTGTTTGTTTGGCAGCACATATGACAAAATAAACAAATAAATAAAAAGGGCAAATATATAGCTCAATGTGCAGGCCCTGGGTTTGATACTCAATACCACTAAAAAAATAAATAAAAAGGATCGGGAAATTAATTCAGTGGCACCTCACCTGCCTTGTAAGCACAAGGTCCTGAGTTCAATTCCCGGTACAAAAAACAAACAAGTTTAATCATGAGCTGGGTACTATGCTGGAATCAGATGTGGCAACAGAGACAGTCAAGGCTACACACATGGGGAGTGTACTGACTAGCCAAAGATTCAGCTATGGAAACAATTATTTTGCACAAGGGAGTGTGTGTGCACATGTGTGTACATGTGCACTGAGGCATTTTCTACACCTTAACACCAAAGAAGTTTGTCAAGAAAGTGGAGGAATCTGGCAAATTTACCAACTGATAGGCTGCTTACGATTCTAGTTTCCTGCATGATAAAATTTATAAAGACTGCATTTTTAACACACTTCCTGTCTTAATTAATTGAGCATCTGCATAATTAACACAATAATCTCATGAAGAAGTTATCCTTATTTCCTCAAAATTTTAGGTAATCAGACAGAAAAACAGAAAATTCAATAGACTACTTAAAAGTGCTTCATAGATGTTACACAATTAACCTTTTATTGACTCCTTCAGTCAATAAAGTGTTCAGAGGGGAGCTAGGTATCGTGCTCCACAACTATAGCCCTAGTTATTCAGGAAGCTGAAGCAGGAGGATCACACTTGAGCCCAGGAGTCAAACCTAGTCTGAGTATAATAGAAAGACCCTGTCTTAAAAAAAAAAACAAGTGGGCCAGGGGTTTAGCTCAGTGGTGCCACTGCCTGCCTTGCAAGCACAAGGACCAAGTTCTATCCCCAGTACAGAAAAAAAACAACAACAACAACAAAAAAAACCCAGCATATTGGGAGACTATCTACTACATTCCAGGTATGTGCCAAAAGCTGGGATACAACAATGTGCACCTGCATTGAAAACTACTAAAAATCAAGTTTGACTAAATTAGGAAAGCAGATGCTAGATCTGGCAAAATGGATGTTACCAATGATGTAAATACTAGTAATTGAGACACAAGAGCTAGTATAGGGCAGACTGAAATCTAAGTGAGAGATGGATTTTTAAATAAGAAATCTAACTGTCAAGAATCCAATAATAACAAACGTTAGGCTGCAGGGGGAAAAGGAACCTTTCTATATTGTTGGTGGGACTGCAAACTCGTATAATCACTATTAAAATCAGTACAAAGTTTCTTCACACTAGAAATTCCATTTGACCCAGCTATTCCCTTTCTCGGTATCTTCCTTAAAGAGGTAAAGACATCATATCACAATGGTACATACATGCTCATGTTTACAGCAGCACAATTCATAATAGCTAAATCTTGGAAGCAGCCTTATGTCCAACAGCAGATGAATGGATAAAAAATTAAAAGTATGGTTTTTACATACAATGGAGTACTACTCTCCCATAAAGCAAGATAAATTTGAATTTGTAGAAAAATGGATGTATCTTGAGATCATACTGTTAAGTGAAATAAATCAGACACATAAGCTCAAATAACACAATTTCTCTTATATGAGAAACCCAAATTATAAACAGAGAGCCAAATAAAAGATAACAGAAAGTAGGGAGATAAGAGATTTCTCAAATGGGAAGCGGACCGAGAGATGGAGGGAGTGGGAGGGAAAGGAAGGAGATGAACAAATAATTAAGATGTGTTATGTACATATGTACCAACTCCCCACAAGCAATGTAACTATTATATACTGCAAACATTACTAATTTTTAAAAAATGTACAGAAGGGATACAGTGTCAATAAAAGGTTTAAAAGATGGGAGCTACTGGAGCTTGTCTGAATGCTGATGAGAACCCTTCCCTAAGAAGGAAGAGACTAATGCTATGTAATGGAGATGAGATGGCTGGAAGGCTAAGCAAGTGAGAAGCAGACATCTCCATTCACTGAGCAGAATAATGATGTTTATTATGGCTGCAGTGGTTTCCTACGGCAGCCGCAGACTGTGGGAAGGTGCAGATGCTGAGTCCACAGAGGTCATACAGGTGGCCATGAAGACACAGGGCCCAGGCTAAAAAGTCATCCCAGAAGCAAAGGACACAGTTCCCCGCTTTATACCTTACCTTATATAATTAGGCTGTGGTGATATAAAAAATATAGAAATGAGACTCACATCATCCAACGATTTGTTTCCCTCTGGATCCATCTTAGAAAGTTCTCGAAATGCTTCATCCCCAACAAAACAAATTTCATGTCCATCCTATACCAACAAAGGAAAAAACAATTTGGCAAAAAAGGTGCCTCTGAAGAGACCGTGGTAAAGCCTGTTTGTTCCCTTGCTGAGTAATACTTACAGGGTCAGCCAGGATGATGACTTGTACAGTCGCCTTCCCAGGGGTATCAAGACTCACTAGGGGTGTGAGGATCTTCTGATTCTCTCTTTTCATCAAGTCTTCTAAATCTGGCAACTTGAGGAAAACAAAAAGGCAAAGTAAGCAAGGGTCACGTACTACTTTTATGACATGATCCTCATTAGTGCTAAGGGAGTATCTGATCAGAAAGAACCAAGGCACCACTTGTTTATTTCATTATCTGTTGAACTTGATACCAGAGCCACAGTCAGAATGAACTTAAGAAAGGAAGGCCAAGGTTCTCAGCTGGGTTGAACTAGCTTGTCAAAAAGCTTAAATGAAAGACTGGGTAATCAAACCTTACTTCTTTCTGGGGACAAGAAAAGGCGATTCTTCCAAAAGCTGCTGCATGGTCAACTGAGCCCTTGATGCCCTGTAGCTCCAGCTTACACTGAAAAGAAATAGGGAGGTGGGTTTATGCTTTCATACAAATTATACATGCATGTGCTTAAAAAAAATTAAACAGTACTAAAAGAATAAAGTAAAAATGAAGTTTCTGTCCTGTCACCCAAGGCAATCAGTTAAGTTTCTCATGTGTCCTTTTAGATACATTTCCAACCTCTCTCCCTCCATGCTTTCCTCTTTCTTTGTTCTTTTTTTTTTTCTTTTTTTGTGGTATTGGGACTAGAACTCAGGTCTTCACACATAGGTTGGGCAAACACACTAGGCAAACACTCTACCACTGAGCTGCATCCTTTACCCTTTTAAATTTTTGCTTATGTATCTTTCCAGTACTGAGAGTTGAACTCAGGGAGACCTGAGCTCCATTCCCAATCTTTTTTTTTTCTTTTTGGTACTAGGAATCAAACTCAGAACCTTTCTCTTGCAAGGCAGGCAGGCACAGTGCTACTGAGCTAAATCCCCAGCCCTCCCAACCCTTTTTAATTTTGAGACAGTCTCACTAAGTTGTCCAGGCTGGCCTTGAACTTGTGATCCTCTTGCCTCAGCCTCCCGAGTAGCTGGGATTACAGATATGTGTTAATGCACCTAGTGCTATGTTTCTTTTTAACACAAATAGTAGCACAATACCACACCAGCATATAAAGACTTACACTAGTCTTTTTAATAGCTGAATAATCCCTTCTATTAGCGAATCGTTGAAATATCACTCTAATTCACAAGGCAAGGAGGTTCTTATATTTTGCTATTGCAAACAATGCTATAATAGATAACTCTGTATTCACTTCTTTTTGTGCATATGGGATGAAGACATCTGTAAAATAATTTTAGAAGTACAACTGCTGGGTCAAAGTATAAGGATTCAATCAAGTTCAAATGCTAGGTTATTAAAAACTAATATATATACAATCATGGATTAAACCTTATCTATTATCTTTTCTGACTAAGCAATTCTACTGCTCACTCTCTCTCTTATTTTTATTTTTTTTGTGGTGTTGGGAATCTACCCAGGGCCTCAAACATGCTAGGCAAGTTCTCTACCACTGAGTCACATCCCTAGCCCATTTCACTTCGAAAAGGATATAATCCCAAATAGAAAAAAGGTAATACTTAGGCAGTGAGGTTACCACTAATTTTCTTTTTCTTCTTTCTGTTTATCTGTGTATATATATGGAATCACGTGAAGAAACCAGGAAAACAACCTTCATGTGAAGCTCATTTAGAAATTCTCTAAGATCACTCACTTGGTTCTCAGAATACCCCAGCAAAGCCCTCTGCTTCTCTTCATCCTGTTCATAAATGTTCATTCCCAGGAGATTAGACCAGTAATTCAAGGATTTCTGAAGATCAGACACTGCTAGAGTTACTTTCAATACAGGATCTGCATGGTAATAAAACAGCAGGAAAAGGCAGGTCACTTCAGTGGAGTAGAATACACTGAAACAAGCTGATATGTGTAATATTTTAGTTCACAGGCATAGCTTAATGGTGGAGTGCATGCCTAGCATGTGTGAGAGCCTAGGTTTGATCCTCAGCAACCAACCCCCCCGCCCGCAATTTAGGTAATGACAAAAAAGGTTTCAAGTCAGTATGAAAGGGCACGTTATTTTTTTTAAAAAGCACTAAAGCCAGGCATAGTGGAACATGCCTATAATCCCAGGATCTGCCAGGCTGAAGCAAGAGGACTGCTATCCGTTCTTCAGCATTCTTCAGCCAGCTAGAACTATAGAGCAAAGCCCTGTCTCAAAAAACCCAAAAGAAGAAGAAGAAGAAAAAAAGATTACATATCTGAATCAAATAACAAAATACATTCCTGATAGGTTAAGGAATCAAGTTTAAAGAACAAAGCCAAGCAAATATAAACACAGGTGATTATTTATAAAATTTTGGGATGGAAGATTTGTGTTTAAACACGAGGCAAAGATAGAAAAACCATGAAGAAAGAAGTCTGCTAGGTTAATCACACAAGATGGAAAACCATTAGCTATCAACAACCTGAAAACAAAAAGAATTGCAGGGCTGGGGTGTAGCTCGTGATAAAGTGCTTGCCTGGCAGGCACAAGGCCCTGGGTTCTATCCTTACTTGTGGGAGGAAAAAGGAATTACAGTAAAAGTTAAACAGTAAACAACAAAGCAGGGAAAAATTTTTGTAACACACTGGACAAAAAAATCCTTATTATGTAAATCATCTTCAAGAACTAATAGATGATGAAGCTGGGTGTGGTGGCGCACGCCTGTAATCCCAGCACTCGGGAGGCTGAGGCAGGAGGATCGCTGTGAGTTTGAGACCAACCTGGGCTGCACAGTGAGTTCCAGGGCAGCCTGAACTACATAGTGAGACCCTGTCTCAAAAAACTAAAAAAAAAA